TTTTCCAGACTACCACAACTCTAAGACAGATGGCTTAAAAATAAACAAACATAAATACCAAAAGATAAAAAAGTCTTAAAATAATATGATCTCATTTCATTTATGCACTAAATAATTCTACTATATATTACTGGTTACAAATCATCTTGATTAAAAAAAAAAAACACAAAATCACTGAAAATGAAATATTTTTCCTAAATTCCTTCCATCCCTGAATCTATCCTCTTAAATGTCTCTACACTTATTTCAGACTAACAACAAATGGCAACAATAATATTTTTTAAAATCTAGATGTTGCCCAATACACAAATCACCTTATAAACTAAATGTATTCCAATCTACAACTTCCTTCTACTTCAAACTACCCTATCTTAATTTGTCTCAGAAAAATTCATGTCCCTTTCTTCTCTTACCCCAATTATATTTCTCAATTTTCTCTACAGCACGATACCTCACTGACAACCTACAATATTGGTCAATATTCTTATGCTACCATCAGCAACCCTACCTAAACATATCAAGTTCCTTAACATAAATCAGATCTCCATAAATTTTACATATATACTAATTATAAAATTATTTAAAAGATTAAAAACAAATTACGAGTGGTAAGAAGGACTGGAGGGAGGGGGGAACGTGTTATTATTCGGTAGGCACAGGGTTTCAGTTTGGGAAGATGAAAAAGTTCTGGAGATGGACAGTGGTGATCCTTCATAACAACATGAATGTATTTAATGCCAATGAACTGCATATTTTAAAATGGTTAAAATGGTATTTTGTATATATTTTACCATGCTAAAAATAAATTAAAAACAAATGATGTATTAGGCACATCATCGTATTTATAATTTATTGCTCTCCTGAAAAGAATCTTAGTTTTCTAAAGTATATCTGGGAATATACAACCCAATTCTGTATCACTTGTCCATTAGGCAGGTCAGCACAGTGCCCAGGGCTCCCGATCATTTTAGAGGCACAAAAAATTGTTTTAATTTCTTTTAAAATAAGAAGAAGAAATGAACTTTTAGGTCAAAAAATGTTTTAATATAGTATACTAATATATTTTTCTTTATAACAACGTAGTAATAAAATATTTTCTATCATATTTTTACTGAGGAAAGGGCCCACGAAGACAAAAGTACCCAGGGCCCATGGAAGTCATAATGTAGCCCTTATGCTTACCATTTCCTACAGGAGATTATCAAGGTACAGCAAGAAAGTAAAAATACAACTTCATATGTATGCAAAACAGTATTCTTAAAGAGAAATCACATACATGAGCAGTTATTGAGGGCTTCATTTTTTTTTTTTAAACTTCAGTAATATTAGAATGGTATCTCAATTATTACTGAATCTTTTTCAAACAACTATAATAAGAGCTAAAGAGAAATATCCCACTTACAAAAACAAATAAACAAATAAAAGCTTGGAAATTAACTTAGTGAGAATTTAAAGGCATTAGAGAGCATTAACTGTTAAGGGAGGAAAAGATAAATAGAAAAAAAGAAGAAAAGGAAGAAGGGAAGGGAAGAGAAAGGGAAACAAAGACTCATTAAAAGAACAAACAGAGCTACTACCTCTTATTAAGTTGAAAATACTTCCTAAGTAAATTCATAGATTTAATATAATGTCAATTAAAATCCCCAAATGGTAACTCAAATACTAAGAAATATATCAAGAGAAAGCATGTGTTCTAAAAATAAATGTATTGGATTGAATTATGTCCCCCCAAAACTCATTGAAGCTTGAGTTGTGTCCCCCAAGTTTTATGTATTAGAAACTTAGCCCTCTCCGTGACTGTTAAGAGGGTGGGAAATCCTGTTATGGCAATTGAAAGGTGGAGCCTTGAAGAGGTGGTTGGATTGTAGGACCACGCACTACTGAATGGAGTAAAGATGGTGGTCAAGGGTATGTTTCTGAGGGCTTTAGCAGAGGAAAGTCTGTCTCTCTCTGCTTCCGCCATCTTGCAATGTGAGACCCTTGGGTCACTGTCGCCACCACCAGATGGACTTTGGACTTCCCAGTCTCAGAAACTGTAAGCAAAAAATTTTGTTTTCTCTGCCGGCCTGTGGCTCACTCGGGAGAGTGTGGTGCTGATAACACCAAGGCCACAGGTTCGGATCCCATATAGGGATGGCCGGTTTGCTCACTGGCTGAGCGTGGTGATAACACCACAAAGTCAAGGGTTAAGATCCCCTTACTGGTCATCTTTTAAAAAAAAAAAAAAAAAAATTTGTTTTCCTATAAATCACCCAGTTGCAGGTATTTTGTTATAAGCAACAAAAATGGACTAATACAATAAATATGAAAAAATAAAAAATCAGCATGTAGCTTTATAAATCACCCAGTTGCAGGTATTTTGTTATAAGCAACAAAAATGGACTAATACAATAAATATGAAAAAATAAAAAATCAGCATGTAGCTAAACCTACTGATACTGGATAAACACAAAAAGGAGACAAATGAAAAATATTTTTTTAAAGCTACAAATCGGTAAACTTCAAATATGTGAGGAAACAATAAAATAGGAAAAAGAACAACGAATAAACATTTCTGGTATAATAACGCCAACATGAAGAAAAACAAATTGATCTCCACACCTTCATTATACATCATACAGAATTTCAGATGGGTTACAAATTTTTTTAACTAGAAAAATACAGAATATTTCTAATAATAAAAGGGGGTTTGTCTTTTGATTTCAAGCAACTGACCAAATTATTATAAAAAGTAGAAATGAAGAATACTAAAGTATGGATAAAAAGAAAATCAACAGACTGAAAAGATAGAGGAGGGACTTCATAAGTTGAACGCTAGATCAAACTTTTATCTGTAAACCACACAGGGATGGATCTAGGTTGGTATCTAGTCCTCAACAGACAACTGTCACAAAATGTGACTTTAATCAAAGGCAGGCAGAGTTGCACCCATTTAACCATGTACCAACTACTGTTATAAACACTTCATATATTAAGCAATCTCACAGTCACAACAACCCCCCTAAGAAGAAGATACTATTTTTATTCTTATGTGATAAACTAGAAAAGTAAGACCCAGCAAGTAAATTTCTTACTCAATGTGACATGCTCTGTGGTCAGATCCAGGAGTAGACCCTAGGCAGTCTCGCCCCAGAGTCCATGCTCTCAACTACTATTTGCTTTTTTCCTCTGTACAACAAAAATTCATGGACCATTTATTCCTCAAATCTCAGCTTTCTAGATATGTTACTAAAATTCAGGACGAAACACAAACAAGAATGGTTTTGATAGTGTTTTGAGGATTCAGAGAACCATGATATATCATTGTCAGTAAAGAGGATGAGGAAAGGCTTTATGAGAGAAATATCTAAATTGGGGTCTGGAAGGAGATGAGACAGAGAGATAGGAATTGAGATAGGAAAACATTCCACACTGAGGGAACAGGACCAAAAGCATTAAATGAAGGTAGAAAATCACTAGCAGCTCAAATAATTGAGTTAAAATGACTGGTATATAGGAGAGATGTAAATAGAAAATAAATAATTCCGAAGACTATGAAGTTTACACTTAACTCAATACGGAAGGAGAGTAACATGAACACAGTTGTTATATGGCAACTGGATATAAGAATTAGATAAGAGATGGAAATGAAAAGAAATGCAGAAGGTTACTTCACAAGGTAAGGAATGTCTGAAGTAAAGTGGGCAAATAAAAATGGAACAAAAGGAATGGATATGTAGCATACAGTAGTTACTCCAACTTCAATTACATTAATAAATGGGGTCAGAAAGTATAAGACTTAATATATTAAAATGTAAAGACAACAAAGGCAATGGGTAGGGCCACATTTTGGAGAATCTTTGGGAACCTAATAGGGGACAAAACGGGCTAGAGTGAAGGGGTAGACAGGCCTTAAGACAAACTGCCTGGGCGTGATTTGGCCATGCTCAAGAACTTGATTAAGGGAGACTTTATAACATCAATGTTTTGAGAGACATTATGAAGGTAGATTGACAGAATTTAATAACAAACATAAAAGTGACTCAGGTTTTAAGTGCAATGAAAGAATCATCTTGTCATCAACAGAAACAGAGACAAAGAAGGGAGATTAGGCTTAAAACAAAGAGTCAGGAGTTCAGGTTTCTAGATGGTGAGATTAAGGTTAATATAGTATGATATCCAGAAATGATGCTCTGTCCACAGGACTAGTGCTCGGTAAGAACAAGATATAAAGACACAGATGTTATCCACATAAAGACACCTAGAAGTTGTGAGATTTCAAAAGAAAAAGTATTAGAAAGGAAAAATTGATCAAGTAAAATTTAAGGGACATCTATATTTAGAGGGAAAGAAAGAAGATCCAAAGAAGGCACTGTCAGAGGTTTAAGATTACCACCAGAAGACTCAAGTATAATGCAGCAGTGCTTCTTAATCTTTTTTACATGAAAGTACACAAATAAGAAAACGTTATTTATGTGGCACAATGCAGTAAATGAGACTGATAATGGTCAGTGATCTAAAAAAAAAAGAATAACCATAAAACTTGGTAACTGAGAAATCGCTTAGGACTAAAAATCAGTGGAAAAAACTATATTTCAGAAGAAAAATATAGGTGATCTTTTTTTTTTCCTTTTTGTCTTTTTTTGTGACCGGCAACGGATCGCAACCCTCAGTGTTGCTCCCGCACCTCGCTCAGCCAGTGAGCGGGAACCGGTCTGTATGTGGGATCCGAACCCTTGGCGGGAGCGCCACCACGCTCCCAAGCGGCGCACTGTAGCAGTGTGCCACCGGGCTGGCCCCCGAAGGTGATTTTTAAAGTGTCAACTTTTTACCAGTCATGTTACCATAACTAGTTATAAGGAGTAACCTAAATGGCATGATTCTTCAAATCTTTCTACTAAAAAAATTCTCCATTTAAACTAAATTGTAATTTGAATATTCTTTACCTCCTAACTCTTCTTTTCTTCATGTTCATAAAAAGGAAGAATGAATAAAACTCCTTTGAAACTTTGAACACTTACCCAGTACGAGACTGACCAACTTTATCACAAATATCCAAAATGAGGCCCCAGTCCTCAGCAGTATTCATCTCACTGGTTGCTTTCTCTGTAGATTATAAAAAGAATTGCAGAAACATTATTTTTAAAATCTTTAAAAGATATATAATCTCATTAAAATCACCAAACTGTAGAATAGTTAAATCTCAACAACAGGGCCCTGCCCAGGGGCCCGGGGCATCAAGCCACAGACCAGACCCCCCCCCCCCCCACAACCAGGCATACCACCAGCACCAAGGAGCATGCCAAAAACATCACCTCCATGTGGGTGGCCCACCACAGCCACCACAGTAACCATGGATGCCACGAAAGTGGCTAGACATCATAACCACCATGCAGATGGTCTGCCAGCCACTGGAGTGCATTGACACAAGGAGAGTCACCAGGAGAGACCAAAGGAAAGAAAAGGATGTCACTCTCCACAAAGCCCATTCCAGAGTGACAGAAGAAACATCTGCTCTATGGTAATAGTGGGGGACCTGAACACACCTTTCAGCATGGGACAGATCATATAGATAACAAATCAACAGAGTAACCATTACTCTTTCAGGAGAAGAAAAGAAATCTAGGGTTATCAGTGGTGGGGGGGAGGAGGGAGAGGGGATGATAAAGAATAAGTACGATTTGTAACAATATATGTACTAGTAATATTGATTTGATCAACATATGTCAACATTGAATCCCCAAAATATGTATAATCAATTATGATTCAATAAAAAAAAGTAAATAAATAATAAATAAATTTTAAAAAACAAATCTCAACAACAAATCAGAATAGTTGCCAGTACTCTGGTTAATGGGATTTTCACATCCATTTTTAAAAGGAGGAGGGGTACCCTTATTATCTATGGCAATTATTTTACCCATTCATACTTCAGGGGATTTTTTGCATAAAAAATAAGCCATTGATTTTTCTTTATAAAAAAAAGTTACATAGATATCTATTACCTCCATCTGCAAATAGAAAGAAACATTATTGCCATTATCAAAAAATTCTTTACTTGATAGTGAAGGAACATGGGCTAGGCACAGATTTCTATGAAAATGTTTTGGGCAATTAAGTTAGTTATTTAGCTAGTTCTATTGATTTGGGTTGTTTTGAGAATGGAAAAGGAAGACTGAAGGAAAGAAAACCAAGCTTTGACTGAATATTTTTCCCAAATAAAACCTTGATATTAAAAACATAAATAGAATAAACTGTACCCCAGGAGCATGCACAATGAAAAAAATAAATTAAAATTAAAAATTAAATTAAATTAAAAATAAAGACATATATAGAAGTATGGAAGACTGAACAAAATCATCTCATTTAGCTCTCTCCCTTAATAACAATATCTCAAAAGTTACACCAGGTTAATAATATAGATATGTGGTACCCTACTTAGAAGACTCGAAAAAAGAGAATCATATATTGGCAGTGAGGGGGGAAAAATCTTAAGACCAGCCTCTTTTACGCCACTGAGTTCTCAGAAATCTCAAGAACAGAAGTAGCAGAAGTTATGCTTGGAATTGTGAGTGAAGAAGAAAGAGGATTTAAGTTTAGGAGGAATGAATAAAAGCTGTTGAAATGTAGGTAGGTCCCTGCTTTGTCTTCATTACTCAAAGGCACTAGCAACCTCTCCCCACTGGAGCAGCAGAGTGAAGGTTTGTTTCCTGGAGGTCAAGCAAAGCTTTTCTTGATTAGTAGACACTAGACATGGTGTCTTACACGGGCACAAAAAAATAAAGGAATTACTTCCAGTTGCGGATTCAGCATATAAGGAGCGTGGAAGTCATCACTCTGTCCTAACTAGTAAAAACCTGAACAAACTGAAAAATTCACAACTCTTCTTAGATACTTCAGGGAAGTGAGCTCAAAGGGTAAATCTCTGACCCAAAAATTAGAGAGACAGACAGGCAGATTAGAGAATCAAAACTTATCACAGGCAGAAATTTCCACAGGAACCAATGGCGAGTTGGAAAACCTAAACTGTAATTGAAAAATTACTGGAGGCTCAATGAGGACAAGTGTGATGGCTAAAAACTCCAGGGGGAAATCATAGGGGGAAACCCATGCCTTTTGTGAGTTTTACCTCCAAGAGTTACATTACGTTCTCAGGGTGAATATATGAGAAAAATCCTCTCCTGCTCCTGGCAGGAGAGGACGAAAAAGAACCACTGTAAAATATAACAGAGCACTGTGTTCTTAACAAGGCCTGCACTTAAGAGAAACTATTTACGAGTGCCTAACCAAATAGAGTTTTACTAAAGATTAACTCTCCCGAGGTAAGGAAAATTTCCAGCTGATGCCTCTTTTAGAACACCCAACTACACCACACTTTAGCTGTCCTGTCGCACCTATGTGGGTGAAAGACTGAGAAGCATTTGTGAAGTTCATAGCCCAGGAGCACAGGCTTACTAAAAGACTAATCATAGGACTGTAATACACTTCCCCTCCTGCCACATACTACCACTTTACTAAGGTCTATTTAAAGGCCACTGAAGGCCTAGAGTTCCTTGTCTCCAGTATATCATGTCTGGGATTCAAAAAAAACTTACAAGACATACTAAAATGTAAAAAACACAGTTTAACAAGACAGGGAAAGAATCAGAATCAGACCAAGATATGACATGGATGTAGGAATTATGAGACCCAGAATTTTTAAAACTATGATTAATATACTAAGAGCTCTCACGGAAAATGTAGACAACATGCAAGAAGGACAGACGATCCAAGCAAAGAGATGGAAATTCCAAGAGTGAATCAAAAAGGAATGCTAGAGATCAAAAACTACATAAATAAAATGAAGAATGCCTTGATGAACTCATTAGTAGATTGCAAATGGCTAAAGAAAGAATCCCTGAGCTTGAAGATATATCAATAGAATATTCTAAAAAAAGGAAAAAAAAGACTAAAAAAAAAAGGAATGTCCAATAATTGTAGGACAAGTACAAAAGGTGTATATCTGCATAATGGGATACCAGAAGGAGAAAAAAGAAAGGAACAGAAGAAATATTTGAAGTAATAATGTCTGAGAATTCCCCCCAAATTAATGTCAGATACCAACCACAGATCCAGGAAGCTCTGAGAACACCAAACAGAATAAATACCAAAAAAAAGAAGGAGAAAAAAGAAAGGAACAGAAGAAATATTTGAAGTAATAATGTCTGAGAATTCCCCAAAAATTAATGTCAGATACCAACCACAGATCCAGGAAGCTCTGAGAACACCAAACAGAATAAATACCAAAAAAATACACATAAGCATATCATATTCAAACTGCAGAAAATCAAAGATAAAGAAACAATCTTAAAGAAACCAGAGGAAAAAAATACCTTACCAGGAGAGGAGCAAAGATAAAAATACATTTAACTTCTCAGAAACCACGCAAGCAAGAAGAGAATGAAATGAAATACTTAAAGTGTTCAGAGAAAATAAATGTCAACCTAGAATCCTGTACCCTGCAAAATTATTCTTCAAAGGTAAAGGAGAAATAAAGACATTCTCAGACTAACAAAAATTGAGGGAATTTGTTGCCAGTACACATACCTTATTAGAAATGTTAAAAGAACTTCACAGAGAAAGACAATGATATTAGGTCAAAAACTAGGATCTACATAAAGAAAGGAAGAGCATTAGAGTTGGAATAGCTGAAGGTGAAATAATAACTTTTATTTTTCTTATTCTTAATTGATCTAAGAGATAAACGTTTATCCAAAATAATAACAGCAACAACATAATCATTATGTTTGCTTTTATATATATATTCTTTTGCATACCTATACATAAGTGAAATGAATGACAGCAATGATACAAAGAACAGGAGAGAGGAATCAGTAATATTTTGTTATCATAAGGTACTTGCACTACCCATGAAGTGATATAGTGTTATTTGAAAGTAGACTTGGGTTAATTGTAAAGGTGTATTGCAAATTCTAAGGCAACCACTAAAAAAAGTTTAAAAAGAAGTATAACTGATATGGTAAGAAAATAGATAAAATGGAATTATGTAATAGTTGAAACCACAAAAGGCAAAAAGAAGAGAGGAAGAAAAAAATAGGAACAAAGAACAAGAGCAATGAATAGAGAACAGTAACAAATATGGCAGATATTAACCCAACTATATTAATATTTTAAATGGCAATGGTCTAAATACTACACCACTTAGGGCCAGCCCGTGGCTCACTTGGGAGAGTGTGGTGCTGATAACACCAAGTCAAGGGTTAAGATCCCCTTACCGGTCATCATTTAAAAAAAAAAAAAAAATACTATACCACTTAAAAGATAGAGATTGTCAGAGTGAATCAAAAAACAAGATCTGGCTCTATGCTGTCTATAAGAAACCCACTTTAGACATAAAGACACATATAGACTAAAATTAAATGCATGCAGAAAGATACACCACGTTAACACTATTCAAAAGAGAGTGGAAGTAGCTATATTATTTTCAGACTGGGCAGACTCAAGGAAAGTTATCACAGATTAAAGAGACGCACTACATGATAAGGAGTTAATTCTCAAGAAAAACATAACAATCCTTAATGTGTATGCACCTATATGTGAGACAAAAACTAATAAAATTGCAAGGAGAAATAGAGAAGACACTCTTATAGCTGAAGACTTCAACATCCCTCCATCAGAAATGAGAAGATCAAGCAGGCAGAAAATTAGTAAAGACATAGTTGAACTCAACTAGATATAACTGACACCGATCAATTACTTTGTCCAACAACAGCATAATACACTTCTTTTCAGGCTCACTTGCAACATTCACCAAGATAAACCACATTCTGGGCCATAAAACACACCAAAACAAACTTAAATGAATAGAAATCACACAATGTCTGCTTTTAGACCATAAAGGAATTAAGTGAGAAATTGGTAACAGAAAAATAGCTGGAAAATCCCCAAATACATTGAGATTAAATAACATACTTCTAAGTAACACAAATCAAGAAAAATTGTTCTGTATGTTGTACTAAACGAAAATGAAAACACAACTTATCAAAATTTGTGGAATGCAACAAAAGCAGTGCATAGAGGGAATTTACAGCATTGAATGCATATTT